GATACGGGACCTCGCCCACACTCACCTCCCTACCAGGCACATACATGTATCATACAAAAAAAAAGTATAAACTATCATTTAACAAATCATTGGGCACCCGCCCGCTATTAATGGACCTCATCCTGAATATCATACTAGCATACTGTGCCTAGGGCTAACCCCTAGGCCTTCTACTCATAACTACATGGGCCGGCATTGTGGCCTTAGACCCATTCACACAAAGGGGAAACTCACCTGCACTGGCTAAACTTGCTGACGATCTCACTAGCTGCTGCCCGACAACTCTCTAAACTCCTGCTCCCCTTGCTCCCCGAACTACCAATATCAATGCAACACTGAGTCTAACTGACCCTCGAGAGACCACCAAGTCAACTCTGGTCAAAGTCAAAGTCCTGGTCAAGGTCAACCTCCCAGGTCAACCCTACTCGCCGAGTCAACCTACTAACTCGTCGAGTTCATATATTCAGAGTCCTTCCTTTTGCGTCTCAACTCGACGAGTCAGTCCATGACTCGCCGAGTCTACCGATTTCTGAGTCCTGACCTGTCCAGCTCATCGAGTCTCCACTTAACTCACTGATTCGAGTCTCAACTCAAAGGGTTTGGGGTTTCGCGACCTGACTCGCCGAGTCCAAGAACAGACTCGCCGAGTACAAAGCAATCTTCATCTGACTCGACTAGTTGTTCATCCCACTCGTCGAGTTGCTCCTACTCTTCATGCTACTCGCCGAGTCCACTCAAAGGACTCGTCGAGTCCTTTCTGATCTCCTTACATGTAGAGGACTTTTGAGTCATGCATGGACTCCAAACTGTACATCTACCCTTCCCAAGCCTATTCCTCACGTAAATTTGCAAACTTTACGTGTAGAGAAGGAGATCTAGGCAAAATACACAATAAACTAGGGTTTAAGGAAAAGAGGCTTCATAATCAACTCAAGGGCAGATACTTTATGCTTCTCAAGACCATAATATGCTTAGATCCGAAGTAGCAACTTCAGATCTGGCTTCTAACTAAAAAGGGGTAGCAAATCATGGCTAGAAAAACCCCCAAAACCCATAACCATAATAGATCTAAGGGAAGGAAACGACTTAATACCTTCAATAACTCAGAAAGTTTCCCCAATCTTTAGCTCTAAGGCCAATCCTTGAAGCTTCAATGATTCCCCTTCTTCTTCTTCCTTCAAATCACCCCAAAGATGGCTTGGAATCTTGAATGAGCAACAATGGGGCTTAGGGTTCGATGTTCTGAGTGAAAGAGGTAGTAAAGGAACCCTAGGGGAGAGAATGAGACATTTAAATAGGCTCCAAGTCCCGAATTTAGGGTTTTCCTCGCACAGACCAGACGCCGAGTCCCCTTGGCTGACTCGCCGAGTCGGTCACTTACTCCTCGACCCGGATCCTGCTCGGACTCGCCGAGTTTCTCCTTCGACACGCCGAGTCGCCCGTTAAAATTAGGGTTTTCTTTCCTTTCTTGGCCTTCCAGATTTTGGGTGTTACAACTCTCCCCCACTTAAACTAAACTTCGTCCTAGAAGTTTGCTATGATCCACCGCCTGCGATCTACCTCCAATACCCTACCAATTATTCTAACACTAGCTGCCTACCTTCGCTGGCCTTCCGCTCAGTCATTCAGACTAACATCAATCCTTGCGGATAATAATCTCGGGTCAAACCTGACCCTGAACATTCTAGAAACCCAAATTCATCAACCGAAATCCATCTTGTACTCTCCGAGTACTGCAACTGAACCCATAGGGGTTCACCCCTTCTTTCCTTGCGCACTTTCCTTGTCTTCCCAAGGCAATGCTCCATAACCATTTATTTCCTCTGCCACTGTGAAGACCCTATCTTCACCAAATCTATTACTCCCGCTACTCCCAGTACGGGTCATTATCGCCAGTATCCACTGGGCATTCTTTCTACTATCATTTGGTGTCGAGCACCCCACAATCAACTAACTGAATTCCACCATACGTTTCATACTTGCACTGCTACTTACTGGAAGTTCTGATATTCCTTATCTGGCTTCCGGATGAACTGAGACCACCCTGGTCCCTACCAACCTATCAATATCAGGATTACCGACTCCCACCGATCGCTGACCCAACACAACTACTAGTCGCTCCCAGCGACTTTCGACGAAACTTCAACCACCTACAACTACTCAATCTATTCTACCATGCAGGCACTACAATTTCCTGGGATCCCCGATCCCCTATCTTGACTCTAAGATCCCTACTAGGTCCCACCTATGCTGCTAAAACTTATGGGCCTCGCCCACGGGTCTCACCCACCCTATCCTTCTAGTCTCACTTGCCTAACTACTCTCGCACGGGCCTCACCCACGGGTCTCACCTAACCATAATAATGAGCAACCCTGCTCTCAGGTCTCACTTACACTGCTACTCTCATACGGGCCTTGCCCACGGGTCTTACCCAACTATATCCTAGAGCGGCCTCTCCTAAGGTCTCACCTCTCAAGGGCTATACAGTCAACTCCTTACCATTCTCATTCATTACCCATTCATGATCCTTATCTGAATGCTAAGAGATAAGGGTCTCGCCCCAACTCTGCCAACGAAGCTACTATGGAATGCTACGGCTTACCCACAGTCTTGCATCACCTTCTATCGCCATCTCCTAGTGAATGCTACGGCTGTCCCATAGCCTGACAACACTTCCCACCACTGACTGCTAGTGAATGCTACGACTGCCCCGTAGTCTTACAACACTTTCCACCACTGATAGCTAGTGAATGCTACAGCTGCCCCGTAGTCTTACAACACTTTCCACCACTGATCACTAGTGAATGCTACGGCTACCCCGTAGTCTTACAACACTTTCCACCACTGATCGCTAGTGAAGAAGGCTACGCCTCTCCCGCTGCTCTTCCATGCTCTACATGCTGTCTTTTCCACTATCTGCTAACACGAAAGCATCCAATTCTATCTGTCCTCAAGATCTTTATTCCGACTCACACGAGTCCTACAGGCGATCCTTCGACCTGAATTCCGAACCACATACTCACCATCACCATTACACACACGAACTGATAGGGAGTTTCTCAAATTCCCAACCCTGGACTACTTAATCCATCAAACGCTGAACTACCTCTTTTCCTTCTCAGAAATCGCGTACTCGTTCTGGATTTGCATGCTCTTACCCTTGTACACTCGGAGGATTCTCCCCCACTTCGATCCTACTTACACCTTGCTACCCAATGAATAGAAATCCCAATCCTTGCTACCATTCCATAATCAATCTGCTGAGGAATCCCAAGCTTACCATAGCTAGGGATCTAACCAGTCCATTTCTAAAACTTATATGGCTCCGAACTAGCAAGACATACCGAGTACCTCCAAGGCATGCTACAGTTACTGCATCCTAAGCAACCTCCCTCAATAAGGCACATCCCCTAACTACCATTCAAATATCAAAGGTATGCAGATGGCATATAACTCGATCACAATCAAACCGTCCAAAAATAAAATACTCATACCGATAATGATGCAGAACCATAACAATATAATCATGCACAAATAAAAGAACTGAAAACGGAAATTGCATACCTGCAACATCCAGCGTTGCTCGCGTCTCCAAGGTAGCCATCTGAAAAGCCCTGCCTCCTACTGCAGGCGCCTCTGCACGGCCCTGACGGCCGTCTGTGATCCTCAAAGTTGCAGGGGCAGGTGCCATCACCCGTCCTGCTGAAAACAAACTAGGGCACTAGGCCTTCTTATGGCCCCGCTGATTGCACTGAAAAAATATCAAGTCTGATCCCTAAGTGGTGGTAACAGTACAATCCCTGCTAAAATGACCAGTTCGACCGTACTTGAAGCAGGCAGAATCACCACCACTACCACTCCTACACGTGCCCCCGTGCACCCTGCCACACTTCCCTCATCGGCTACCTGAACCTCATCTAGCTTCCTCTTCCGGATCTACTCTAAATCAATTTCCCTCTCCCTAGCTCGAGAAATCATATCTTACAGCGTCTTACAGCCGGACCTGCTCACGAACTCCCTGATGCCATCCCTCAACATCTTGTGATATCGGGCCTTCTTCATCTCTTCATCCGCAACATACTACGGTACGAGAAGAGCCCTCTCTCTGAACTTGGCGGTGATCACCGCCACAGTCTTAGTGGTCTGCGTCAAATCGTGAAACTCCCGTGTCAACTGCTGCACCTCAATAATTGGAGAAAACTCCGCCCTGAACCTGGCTGAAAAATCACCCCAAGTCATCGCGTCCAACGCAGCATCATCACCCAAAGCATGACCAATCTCTTCCCACCAATCCCTCGCTCTGTCCTTCAGAAGACAGGAAGCGAGTCTGACCTTGTCCTCGTCAAAACACCGGCTCGTACGGGACGCGTTGGCAACATCAGCCAACCATCTGCTGCTAGCGATGGGTTCCCTAGCCCCATGATAATCTGGTAGTTGAGAGAAAATGGATAGGTTTTCGGCCAAAATAAGGGAAAATGATTGTTGTTTTCGACCAAATCTATATATATATATATATATATATATATATATATATATATATATATATATATATATATATATATATATATATATATACATATGAGTTTTCGGCCATGAACACATTCCAAGGAAGAGGGGTTTTCGGCCGAGAATTGTAAGTCGAGTCGCATGTTTTTGGCCGAGAACACTACCCGAGAAGATAAGAACGAAGGTGTTTGCGGTCCGAAGGCGGCTAAGGTGTTTGCGGTCAGGAAAGAAAACCCACCGAAGTAGTTTTATGCTGAACACATGTTTGCGGTCCAAGACGTTTACTGCCGAGTACCGTGTTCGGTCGGAAGGAAATAAGGGAAATGCAAAGGTTTTCAGTATAGGCAAGGATCCTTGGATTTTTGTGCACTTCTCTTCTAACTTATGTAACACTTTTATTAAAAGTTTATACCAACATTATTAATTTGACTTTATTAAATTAACAAAACAATAAAGTTGATTTTTATTAGATATGTTTGACTTTTGTTGACTTTTATAGATTTGAAAATAACAGGTGGTCACAACTGAGACAACCACATGGAGCCCCAATGGTGGCAGAAAAACGGCTGGAGCAACGAACCAAGTAGTGACCGATGAATATGACGTCGTTGAGGGCCACATGGACGGCGACGGCCGTTAGATGGAGCTGAAACAACGTAGAAAAGAAAACAGGAAGAAGAAGAGGTTTTAAGTAGCCACGACCTCCGATCTCAACGCTAAGCCTCAAGTCACCCACGATCTCGCAAGAAGGGACAGCAACGAAAACAGTTAAGCGATGGCTGCTTGACGCTTCGGTTAGCAACAAAGAGGTACGACGGCTACACAACTAACAACGGCGACTGAGGATGAGGAGGAACAAGGTTGGCGGCTGGAAATAATCTTTAGGGTTAGGGTTTTTTGGGTGAGTATGCAATGAGAGGAAAGGGAGGGGTTAGGGGTTTTCAGGTGAGTATGCAATGAGAGGCTGGAAATATTCTTCAACTTATGACGATTTTTCACTTTCGACCCTTCCCCCTCTAATCTTTTTTCAAATCAGATCCACAATTTACCAAACAGATCTTGATTCATGAATTTCTTTACATTTCAAGTCCTAATGTTACAACATAGACCCCAAAACTGGAAATTATATTATTTAACTCCTTATGGATAACACTAATAAATTATTACGGGTTTAGGGCTAAAACAAAATAAAATATAAAATACATCTCGGGGTCTTAGGGCTTATTATTTACTTATTTATTTATTTTAAACGGAATGTTACATATGTGTCTACAATTTTGAGTTTGGATGAGGCGTTTTGGTGACTACATCATTCGAGAGTGTAAACACGTTGATTGAATAAAAACATTAGAATTATTAACTATTATTTATGTGAGTCATTTACTTAATACAGGACCGTTGGGTTGCTTTAAGGACCATCTTCTATTTAAATTGATTTTCCTTACCCCTTTTAAGTTAATCCGTTCTACCCGTTTCTATATCATCTTCATCTTTGTTTTGTTTCCCTCTCACTCTATCTCTGTCATTTCGTCCCTCTTTCATTATGTCAACTAACACAATTCCCGATAAAGATTATAAACACAATGTGGCTTTGTTTTCGAAATCGTGTAATGAGAAACTCACCAGGTTGATGATAGATAACAGACCTTACTTCAATTCGACCAACATTGCAAATGAGAACAACTTGAGGCAATGAAGAATAAAACACCCTCTAAAGTCATGAGATTTGCAATAGAATTTTATCCTGAATAAAAGTCTACTTACTATGCTCTTATTAGCCTATTGAAGACATTCTAGGATGTTTTGAAGAAGAAAAATAAACATTTGCGTATGTTTATTTCTTTTTTTAAAATAATGTAATGTTTTAATATATATTTAACTTTTGTCTTTAAATATAAATATATAAAATATGTTGTTTTATGTCAAAGAAATGTCATAGATATTTATGTTTCTTATTTTCAAGCTTAATATATATCCTTGCAGGTGTGTTAACATGGGACTACCATATGAAGACCACATGGCTAATTATAAGCAATAGACACTCAATGCCGACGAAACCATTTATAACATGTCTTAATGGTTTATTGTAAACAAAGATGGTAGTTTTTACCGTCTCAAACAAATGAAAAGTGATAATGAGAACTTAAAAAAAATGGTTTGTTGCAAAATTATGACATAATCCAACTTAGAACATACATTTTACAAGAGTTGGGAAAAATGTTAATTTAAAGTGATGAGAAAATAGGAATTGTTGCCAAGCTGGTACCAGCATCCGCAATGAAACAACTTCCTGTAACATATAACGAAGAATCATGGATCAAATATCGTGCAAGAGATGTCAAGGCTGGATTAATCGAGCCAAGGGTTTTCAAAGGAATTGTCTTCAAAACCACATTGTTGAACCATGTCTTATCTACTAGCCCTTCGGTGATCTCCGTTCTGAAAATTCCAGGGTTTATGCAGTTCACTCTTATGTTGTCGGTTCCCAATTCCATTGCCATCACCTGTTGTCATTATATCTTTTGGTTAAATATTTATTCATGCTACTAAGTTTTTGTTTCTCTTAAGTATTGCAACAAATTGAGATTTTAGATGATATATGCAATCATATTTTATTCATAGGCGGATCCAAGGGGATCCTGGGGTAGCCCGGGATACCCTTAATTTTTTTTCGGTAGTGTAATTTTTGTTTAAGAATTCTTTAATTTTTTTTTGGGTATAATGTATATATATGTATCCCTTCAATCTTAAACAAAAACAAATAGTAGAGCTATTAGTTAAGGCATTGTCTTATTAAAGTAAAGTCACGTCAGCATTTAACCTGGATAACGGATCAAGTGGTCAGAATTGTAACAAATTGGAAAACACAGTGTCAAAATTGACAAAAAAAAAAAAAAAAAAAAAAAAAAAACACGGTGTCAAAATCGAATTTCTATGTAAATAAAGTGTTTTTTGTGTCATTTACCCCTAAAAGATGCCATTAAATTGTAATGTTACCTTTGTCATGGTATTAACCGCTGCTTTTGAAGACGCATATGCCACTCCTCCGGGCAGAAAAACACGATTAGTGCCCGCAATCGATGAAATGTTGATCACCGAACCACCACGTTTAGCATGACGCATATACATACAAACATGTTTTGCCACCAACCATGACCCTGTTAGGTTTGTCCTATAGATATAGTTCCATTTTTCCTCTTCGAAATCCAGTGGGTTACGAGGTTCACCTGCATTGTATAATTGATGGCCAGTCGATAAATAACTATATAACTATCATAGTTTATGATTTTGCGTAAAGGTAGGGGTTGCATTTTAGAGTTAACAATTTACATCTCAATTATAATGATTTTTAATTACACAAATTATGAAAAGTTTGTGCGAATTTAGTTACAAAACATTTTTTTTAATCAATTTATATAACGGCAAGCATGAGCCATGAGCAATTCTTGTCAAATCGATTAAACACGTCACATGTACAACAAAAAAAAAATTCACCTTCTGAATGTATTATTCTAAAAAAATATTATTTATACAAATATAATATATGTAATTTTATGTTGAAATATTACAATGAACAAAATTTTAAAATTATAACAATACATATAAAATATTGCTAATAGTGTTTATTATGAAGACTATTCCATTATATTTTAGTAGAACAATGATTTATTTTTTATTTATATTATTTTGGATATTAAAAAATAACAAATAAAGCATATATCAGTTATCTCTTGACACGTGTTATATTTAAATGTGAATTATATATATATATATATATATATATATATATATATATATATATATATATATATATATATAATATTTGTCATGGCTTATTCGTTACTCATGTGTTAATAATGAGTATATCCACTTTTCAGAACATTTCATATGTTATTAACATATGTATTAAGTTATTTACATCTCAATGACCAATATTATTCACATGTACGATACTAAAACTTTAATAAAAATTAAGCAAATGCTTAATTCACATTTATATAATAACATAATTGTAATAAAAATCCGATACACACTTTATTCGTGTATGATGAGAGCTGATAATTAATAGACATAAAATTTGTATTTGATATGAAAAAAATTTTATATCAATATGAATGTATGTCTACACAAAATAAAAAAATCAAGAATTATGATCTATTTGAAATTGTTTCAATAATAACTCATACCAATTTAAAATTTTTTTTGTATATAAACTAAAACAAACCTCTCTCTCTCTCTCTCTCTCTCTCTCTCTCTCTATATATATATATATATATATATATATATATATATATATATATATATATATATATATTCTATGAATTATAAAAATTAGTTACATCATACTATTCAGTTCAGTTAGTATCAATGATTAAATATTATAATATATATTTTGAGTTAAACAAGTTTTATTAGATTAATATGGTATAAGATTAAAATATTATTTTGAACCACGTGAAAGATAATAGATTAAAAATTAAAGATCGAAAAAAAAAAAAAAAAAAATTGAAGATTAAATATTAAAATTTTTAGATAAATATATAGATTAAATATACTAAAAAAACATAATATTAAAATTAAAGACTAAAAAAAATTGTTAATTAGATTTTGATCAAACTATTCTTTTATCTCGTTTTCCCTTCTTCAGCCGTTGAAAAAAAATCTCCTTTTCCCTTGTAATCCACAATTAGTCTTTTTATCTTCATCATGTATTTGTTAAGGTAGTTGACAATTGCGTTTAGTTTTTCAAATCATTACTACTTACACTGAAATGATATACAAACACTCTAACCAAACTAGTATCTACAAACTAACCTGAGATTCCAGCATTGTTTATCAATGAATCAATACGCCCAAATGCATCCCATGCCTTTTTAACTGCCGCCTTGATGGTAGCCTCATCCGCACTCACATCCAACTGCACTGCAAAAGCCCGAATGGGTACTGCTTCGGGTACAGACTGAGATCCAGATCCAGAAGAAATGTCCATTCTATTAATTTCATCACAGAGGGATTTGAGTAAATCAATCCGCCGAGCAGAAGCGATTATCTTGCAACCCGCTCTCGCTAAATCAAGGCAGAATTCTTTGCCAATTCCAGATGATGCTCCGGTCACAAACACCACCTTTCCGGTCAGATCGTGCCATGGCTCTAGTATACTTTCGACTTGGCTTGTCATTTTTTCTATTGGTTGAGGAATGTGAAAGTTTTAAAGTTGATTTATAGAGATGGAGAGCTTAGATTTTTATACGCCAAGTGGGGATACTTTAGCTTTACTTAAATATGTGGGCCCAAAGCCTGCCAATATTGATTAAGTCTATTCATGTACGACATTTTTATGTTAGTTCCACTTTCTTTCACCAGTATTTTGAGTGGACTGTATTGTGTTATTACATTATTGTAATACAATAAAAAATAAATAAATAAATTGGAAATTATGTTTATTGTATTGCCCAACAATATATTAAGTTAAATATTTTAAATATGCTCATTTTTATTGATTCGTATAGATTATTACTTATAATTTTGTATTCATTATTTTCATAGATTATTCGTATATATTTTGATATTTTAATGCTTACAAATTATATTATTCCATTTGCAGAGAGGAGGGGATTTTGAAAAATAAACTATAGGATATATTGGTGAACAGTCAACCTCGCATCGAAAATAATAATATAGTCCTTTTCATAGGTGTTAATAAAATTACTTAAAAATATAGTAGTACCAAAAAATAAGAAAAATGAAATATTTGACAATTATCCTCAACAAATTTTCATGTTTCGGGAACCATTCACTACAAATAACAATCCAAAACTCTGATACTAACTTGTTACATTTCAAAATTTACGACCAAAAATTTCATTTTTAATTTAATAATTATAAAACTATTTGTCGCAAAACATCATAGTACTACTCATATCAAAAACCAATGTATCCATAATCAAAACATGTCATGACAAAATAATACCGGGGTATAAATCTCACAGATCTCATGTGCGGAAATCCCAGTGTGATTTGTTGTAGTCATGTCGGCTATTTTCCCTTCGAAGAAGAGGTACATGAAACTAAAACTAAAAACCGTAAGCACAAAGTTTAGTGAGTTCCCTCATTATACCACATATCATACAATAAACATATTGTCGGGTATATATGGGTGCCCGACCTACCCTGCTAAGCATATCGGGGTGCTCAGCCTACCACTACTAGGCATACCAGGGTGCCCAACCTACTCCTCTCAGACATACCGGAGTGTCTGGCCTACCACTGTCAGGCATATATGGGTGCCTGACCTACCCTCCGGTTTATCTCAACCGGTTACGGGGACTATTTCACCCCTACCATTACCACATAATAACATATTATAAACATACTGTTAGACATATATAGGTATTGTCTACCCCTTTAGTCTCTTTCAACCAGTAATCGGAGACTATTTCACCCCTCCTACCATTATCACATCATAGCATCCTAGCACATAAAGCATAACAGATAGTGGCATATCAGACAATTATCACAAAGACAATCATCTCAACTATAAACAACTACTAGTGGGCCGACATTGGTGCCTTCGACCCACTTCTACTAGAAGGTAACTCACCTCGATAACTGGAAATAGCTGCAAAGACTACTGCTCTGAAATCAATCTCTCTCAGACTCCTACACATAAACATTTCCTTTAATTGTCCTTCCATACTCATGATCTCTTAAGGGTCAATTTTGGTCAAAGTCAAAGTCAATATCTGGTCAAAGTCAACATCCTGGTTGACTCAACTCGTCGAGTTCCATGAATCATAAAACCTTGAAATCGCGATCCAACTCGTCGAGTTCTTTCATGAAAACATCGAGTTTCTTCCTATAACAGAGTCGAGACTTCTCCAATCAACTCGTCGATTCATCCTTGAACTCATTGAGCTTTTCCCTTTACAGACTCAGGACACTTCGACTCAACTCGTTGAGTTCTTTTATGGACTCGACGAGTTCTTCCGTCTGTTGAGCCATCTTAATAGATTAAGCTCTTATCCTTCAGATCTAAGCCCCCTACTTCATCTACATGCTGAAAATGACCTCTTAAGGGTAAAGTTTCCAAGTTTACCCGTTAGTAGCCCTTCTTAATGGGTTTAGCTCAAACCCTAATCCTTTAAGACTTAGATCTTGATCCAAAAGCCATAATACTCCAAACTAAAGCATAAAAACTGAGATCTAGACTCTAGACACCATATGAACACGTAAAGTCCCTGGATTTCCCTCCATGCATTCCCTTTTGGAGCTTAAAAGGCCAAAATGACACCTTAAAGCTTGCATGGGACTTCCATGGCCATAAAGTTTGCACATGTATGCCATGAAAATCTTCCTAGACCACTGATCTGAAAGAGCAATCACTTGGGACATCCAAGTCTCGAAAGCTAGAATTCTAGGACCAAAACATGGAGAAATCACTCCAAAACTAGATGTAAGCATTAAATAGACAAGATAGGAGCTTTATACCTCTGATGAACCAGAAATGAAGCTAGACTTATGGGTCTACTCTTCTCCAATACTTTGTTGTTCCTTCTTCAAGTATCTTCTTCATCAAAACCTCAAGAATGCACCAAAAATGGCTCAAAACTCTCAAAAGTGTATTAGGCTTTTGTGGATAAGGTTTGGGACGATGGAGGATGGAAATGAGGCCAGCCTTCGGAGGTTAAGGTATTTTAATAGGGTGCTAAACCCTGAAAATTAGGGTTTCAATTTGGCAACCCTACTCGTCGAGTAGACTTTAGGTCCTGCATCCAAATTTCGTTCCTACTCGACGAGTTTAGGGCCTCCAGCTCTTCGATTTCCTGTGCAAAAATTAAGAAAACTCTGTTTGACCATTCAAGAAGTTGTTTTCTTCTCTTAACCCTACTCGCCTATCTCATTATCTATATCATTATTTGGTATCAAAAACTAAACAACAACATACCTTTTTCGATTCCACCACTGCTATAAAGAGTCGTCGGTTCCTTCATGGCACTTCTTCCACAAGCTTTCGCGATCGTTGCTTCACTCAGCAGTGTTAAAGAGCTCTCCGATTGAGGTTTGTTTTTTCCCTCCTTAAACCTAGTCATTTTTAATTCTTAAATCAACAATCAATCTACATTATTTTCTGATCATAGGTTGCAATCGAGAGTGCTTCCATTTTAGGTATATTCATGTGTATCCAACATGCTCCATTCTTCACTTTTTTATCTTCATGACCTAGGTGTGAGTCGGTAAAAAAGGACTGTCATTGGAACGCGGTTTTGTCTAAACAAGAATCTTGAAGCTTAAGGGATGTTAATACCGGGATAATTTAGAATGATGTTGTAACACTTGGATTTTTGGTATGGTACTTAATTACCCTTTATATTTTAATTGTTACATTTAGACCTTGTAGTAGTACGCAGGGCATAGCACTTAGTACGCTTAGCGTACTAGCTGAGAAGCTAGTAAGCGGGGTGTACAACATGGTACGCTTAACATACTAAGGAGGGAAGTGATCGCGCTTGTGAGGCCTCATACACTAGGCATATGAGGGTTACACTTAGCATAATCGGAGGATATAGAAACCCTAATTTTAGGGTGTTGCACCCTATATAAAAATCCTTAAGTCCCTAGGGTTGGCCTCTTACTGTAACATCCGGAATTCCAGGTATCCTATTTTAATTAATTATTTTGTGTCAAGGAGAGGAACTCGACGAGTTGGCGCTTAAACTCGTCGAGTAGGATCGCGATTGCTGACTGGATTTAATAAATGGACTCGACGAGTCGACTAGTAGACCTGACGAGTCCGCGCTGTGGATAGAAACCCTAAATCTTCTGGCTTGTGCCCTATTTAAGGGACCTTCTGGCCCTCATTTGCGGCCACCTTCACCCTTGAGAGAACCAGAGCACATGAAAGCTTTATGAGAGAGATAGAAGAAGAAGAAGAAGAAGAAGCTGTTTTCATCATTTTAAGTGTGATTTTGCAAGAAAGAAAGAATAAGGGAAAGCTAGGAAGATTGAGGAGCTCAGATCTACCACCATTTGATTAGAAGAGGTTGCTAGAGGTATAGATCTATGCTCAATCTCGTGGTTATGGTGATCTACTTGAATCTAGGATTTTCTTATGCCTTCTTTAGCTTGGATTCGAAGTATATGAGGTCCCAAGGTGGAGTTCTTCTTAGATATGGACCTTAAGAGGTCCAGAGAGTCCTATCTATCCTGCTTTATGCTATTCCATTAGAGATATGAACCTAGGTTGCCATTTTAGAAGCTATTTCACCAAAAAGAGTCTTATGTGCGTTGCACAGGTGTAGAGATTGGACCTTTATGTAGTTATTGAGCATTGGGAAGTCAGATATATAGGTTAGAGGAATAGATCTGACCTCAGAAGGTAATTTGAGTATTACCATGGAAGGAACTCGCTAAGTCTATAAGGGGACTCGACAAGTCGAGTCGGGGTTGCCCCACGATTTGTGACCAGTGGTAACCCGTCGAGTGGAAGGTTCACTCGACGAGTCGAGTGAGCCCTTAGAAGGATTCAGGGGACACTCTTGGACTCGCCGAGTCAGTAATGTGCACTCAACGAGTCTGGTCAAAGTTTGACCGTTGACTAGAGTTGACATCAATTGACCTTGGGGTTTTGGTAAAGCTGATTCAAGAGAGGCCAGAGAGGGGTATAATGGTCTTCTACCTATTATTAGAGATGAGAACATGAGAGGATTTTGATATATGTATGCTATATTTTATATAGACCGGAATGGAGAGTCCAACGATATAGACCGGACCGAAGGGTCCGATGATTCAGACCGAACCAGAGGGTCCAACGAGCTATGGGACTGGAGGGTCCTGCTAAGACACCTAGACCGGAGAGTCGTACTGTGTTATAGCCTTGAGTGGCGTATGTGTTGTATTTGGTATTTTGGGGAACTCACTAAGCATTTATGCTTACAGTGTTATGTGTTATGTGTTTCAGGTACTAGTGAGGATCGCAGGAAGGCGTCGGTATGATCCGTATACACTGACAGAGTATTGTATTTTGTGATCTTGGGATATGTTTTATTATAATGATATTCGACAAACACGAGCTTTGAAAATATTGTATGAGTTTTATGTTTTTTTGAAAAATGAAAATTTGTTTTAAATTTTCACGTCGTTACAAGTTGGTATTAGAGCGTTGGTTTGAGGGATTCGGATGCACCTTCGGGCGTATCTGAAC